AAAAAAGAGTGCGAGAGAAGTTCAATTGCTCTCTTTCTTTTGAGAAAGAAAAAAGATTGCTCGCCATTACGGATAGACATGAGGGCGGCGTTCTGGGTGAACTCGAGGAGATCGTTGACCTCGACGGGTGAGCCAAACCTTTTATGAACTAGCCTGCCCTGGAGTTGGACGAAGGATCTTGGTAAGAGGAGTGGGAGAGAAAAGAGGTGGAGAGGGAAGAGAGAAGCAGTGGCAGGATCAAGTATGAAGATGCGGTGGAGGCAGTCGTGTGCGTGGATGGAGGAAGGTGTAGAGTGGTTGACTAGAGGGGTGATCAGGTGAGTGAACTTTGATATCAGTCTCTCATCCGCGATGACTGAGTCATTCTTGGCCGAAAGACTTGAGGGAATTTTTTTTTTGAGGAAGAGGTCGAAGATTGGAGGGTTGACTTGAGTAGGTTGGAAGGTTGGGGGTGGGGAGTCTAAGCAAGAACATTCCGAGGTAGGCAAGGAGCGAGTAGAGGAGCTAGGGATGATAAAGAAAGGGGAGGTCGGTGGTCTGTCACCAGGTCGAGCGGTCGACACATTCATTGCTATGTACTTACTGAGGGAGGGGGGGAAGACGAAGGACTGACCTCTGACCGAAGACTGACAGTGATGCTGGGGGACATGAACTGACCGGAGGATGACTTGCACGAAGTGATTGGACAACGACTTGCACGAACTGACTGGAGGATGACTTGCACGAACTGATCGAAGGATGACCTGCACGACTTGTTGAGATGGAAGTCCCGAAGGCTGGAAGAGGGAACAACCCATGGCCAAAAATTGGCGAAGGAGAAATGATTCTCCTCAGACCGGCTGACGGAAGTGACTGTGTGACTGCAGATTTGTGTACACGCTGACTGCTGCTGGCGGACGGTCAACCGAGGGAGGTTCAACTTGAAGGGAAGTCCAGCAGATTCAGCAAGTTTCGCAACCTGCCTCCACTGCGACACTGCCGGTAACTTATACCGTCGCGGGCGGTGGGAGTAGTGCCATCTGGGCCGATGACGTCCAGATGCATCCCATGTAAGTTCCTCGGTCCTTGGTGCTGAGCCAATTGCCCCGCACTCGTAGGTCCTGTTCCAAACTGCAACCGAGTGTCGTGAATATTGCTGAAGTCTTGGTCCTTGTTCTGTCGTGAATATTGTCGAAATCCTTGTCCTTGGTCTGATTCAGAGGGCCCACAGTCCTTGGTCCAGTCCGAACTCCACTCGAGTGTCGTAAAATGCTGGTGCCGTGGTCCAGATAAACCGTCAGTAATATTGAGTGGAGATCATAAACTGTGGATCTTGGGAATGAGTGGATGCGAAGAAGTGCTGCCAAGTAGTAGAGTGTGCGGAAACGATTTTGTTATCGAAACAGCTCGTCGTACCCGCTGGTGGTGACCGAGACAAGGAAAAGCCAACTGTGAAAGGTGGTAGGACAATTGCAGCCGCGCACGCCACCTGCTGTTGCACTGTGCAGCGTAGTGTTGAAGACAGGAACAAGACCGCCGCTAGTGGGACCTGGCCCCCTGCCTTCGTCCTTTTTTTTCAAATTGTTTTCTTTTTCTCTCGTTGAGAAATATCTATCTATCTATCTTTTTTTATTTTTATTTTTATTTTTTGATCACGGTATATTCTTCTCTCAAATCTTTTTCATCATCTTTCAAATTCTTTCAATTCACCTTCACTACCTACCTATCACTACTCCTAAGGCTTAGACAGGGGACCCCTGCAAACATAGCTTTGTTGTCTCCCTCCAGCCATGAGAGGGGATGGATGTTGCCCCCCGCCCCAACCATGGTGGTCAAGGATGGGGTGGGGCCGCCGGTGGGGGTCCGGCTAACGCAAAGAAAAAGCTCTTGCGAGCGCGGCTCGCCAGCAGAGCAGAGTGGGCCTAAGTATATTTGAACTACTGACTTTACACATGCATATGCCAAAAAAGTAGGATATTTAACAAGATCAAAGTGGAAACATTTGCTAAAAGTATAGTCGGAATTAAAAAAGCAGCAGTAATCCGTTGAAGAAGCCAATGTGCCAATCTTTCTCTATTAGCTTTCATTCGTTTACACCTTTTTTTACGACAAAGAGAATCTCAAGAAAGACCGAGCATTTTGCCAGTAGCTGCGCCTCCCTTTTCATCGTCCCCCAACCCCAAACGAATAACAGCAGTGTCTAAGGCCAACACTCTCCCACACACCACACACAACCCACTCACACTCACACCAGTGTTGGCCAAGGACCCTGCTATTACAGATCAGAGGTAACAAGCGGACTATCACTGCTGGTTGGCACGAAGTGCGCCGCAGGCGGTTGTGGGGCTCGAACCCACAACCTCCTGAATGCCACTCGCGTGCCTAACCAGCTGAGCTAGGCCGCTGGATCTATCTATCTATCTATATATTGTTGTCCTCTTCTCTCTCTCTGCCTACGGTTTACCGGGCAGTTCTATTTGTGACGATATATATATATATATTGACGATATATATATGTCCTCTTCTCTCTCTCTGCCTACGGTTTACCGGGCAGTTCTGTTTGTGACGATATATATATAAAATGCAACACAATTATATCCTGGAGGAGAACGGCGGGTAGGGGCCTCGCGATGACGAAGGGGGCACAGACCGGCGGGTGGCGCTTGGGCCCCCCTCCCTTGTCTAAGTCGGAATAGGTGCGGGAAGTGAAAAATGGGTGCCGAACCTGACTCGCAGTGTCGCGGGCATCGATTGGTCTTTGAAGGACGTGAAAGGCCCTCGTCGTCGCGCCACCAACCAAATGTCGAAAGGACAAAAGCGAAAAGCAATGGCGACTGCACCTCGGCGAGAATATATACGCTTCCCGCACTTTTCTTCTTCTTCTTAGATTTTTTCATTGCCTTCTCGCACATTTGCTGAGACGTGCCGGAAGCCCCAGAGGCGGGTGGAAGGACAAGAAAGGGGAGAGGCCATGCACAAAATAGGACTTTCCTGGATGTATATGACTGCTTTGCTGGTCCTCCGTTGACGCACCTGCGCAATTACGTCCACAAGGAAGCGGACGAAGTCCTAGAGTGAGAATGCCCACAGTGTGCGCGCCCGAACGCGCGCCCGGCGTCTGGGAATGTACGGTTGAGGGAGGCGGTGTCGTATCGGGCGCCGAGTGCGCTGATTTGGCGCAGCTTTTGTTTTATTTTGTCGTTTTGTCTCAACAATGAGATTCGGCGAGTCACGGGGGCCGCCGCAAAGCGGACAGCTCACAATAAAAGAATCGAGAGAAAAAAGCAAAAAACAAAAGAAAAAAGATCGAGTGGCGGTGAAGCACGATCACCGCATCTCGCGATGACTCGATGCGCACTGCTCTCACACTACAGGCCTCGCTGGAAAGAATATGGTCGGGAACATGGTCAGATGCATCCTTTGATGTACTAATATGAGTATGCACGTGGTACGAGGACGGCACCTGTGGGGCGTGGCGCTCGAATTTGAGGGCATACTTATTTCTGGACGGAGTTGCCGCCAGGTGCATACAGTGTGGCCAAAATTGCGGTCTGATGCATTTTGGAAAGGGCTACTACGTACCACCGTCTTCCCCCGAACACAACGCCCCCTCATTTTGGCTGTATCGGGCCGGAAATATAACTCGTATACATTCATTTTAAGGGTGCGTTATGTTCGCGGGAAGGAGGTAGTGTGCCAGAAGTCGCCCGTACAATGATGAGATCTTGGGACCGATAGTCCATTCACGCGTTTCAGGTAGTACGGAGCGGAGGCCTTCCCGGGGGCAAGGTCCAACTTGCACGGATTAAGAGATTCTGGCCGTTGATCTTTGCTATCTACGGTCAATACCGCTTAATTCGTGTAAGTGGGACCTAGCCCCGGCGCGTGTGGGTAAGGGCCTCGCCACACCACTCTCGAAATGTGAAAACGACAAAAATGTGGCGGGTGCATCTGGTCATGTTCTAGGGAGAAAATTCATTCTCATTTTGCACCTTTCGAGAGTGGTGTGGCGAGGCCCTAAAAGGTTCACACGCCAACTGGCAGCTCAATTGGTACACCTCTGAACTGTTGAAATACTGACCCGAGTTCGTACTCCAGGGCAAGCGGAGGAGTGAAGTACTACAATTCTGAATTACCTACAGTAGGGCCGGTCAGTCCGATCATCATATATCAAAGCTGTCCCTCTTGGAATGCAAAGTTGATTTGTAAAAAAAAAAAAAAAAAAAAAAAAAAATTTTCCCTTTTTGGAAAAAAAAAAAAAAAAAAAAAAAAAAAAAAAGCTGTCCCTCTTTGGACACAAAAAAAAAAAAAAAAAAAAGGGTTTAGACACGTAGCTCTTAGGAGGACGTCAGGAGTTCGAATCGTCGCTCCTGATTGATGGATCCAATCACGGAAAGGGCTACCTTGTTTTTTTTTTTCTTTCTCGGGCTACCGTTTTTTTTTTTTTTTTTTTTTTTTTTTGGAAAAATAGCATTTTGTCATTATATCTGCAGAAGGAGGGCGGGAATCCCTCCACATTTCAACCCGGGCGGGCTACCGTTTTTCAACAAAGGAAAGAGGAGAAATTCGAAGCAGCGCGCGTGGGGTTCGGCTGCGCTTTTCGGGGCTAGGTCCCACATACACGAATTATTAAGAGATATTGACCGTAGATAGCACAGATCAACGGTCAAAAGCTCGTAATCCGTGCAAGTGGGACCTTGCCCCGGGGAGCAGCGCAGCGCGGTAGCAGAGCGCCATGACGAGGAGAGGTAATCGAGCGGCGGAGAGAGAGAGAGAGAAAGAGAGCGAGAGAGAGAGAAAAAGTTCTTTGTTTGTTTGTAATTTTTGTTGAAAAAATAGAGAAGAAATTCTGAACAATCGGAAAAAGAAAAGAAAAATAGAAAAAACGGGAAAAACTGAGCGGCCGTCACCGATCTCTCGCGCTGGCATTGCTACCGCAGGGCTCCTCAGCGGGGGAAAGGGTAGTTCGATGTGCTCCGTGGTATAGACGACCGGCGGTGTTGCGACTCCGACCGACTCCTGCGCGGTGCTAATCAATGCGGACGACGACGCGCGCGCTCGGAACAACAGCGTGAATGGCCGGGATGGCCCCGCGCATTGGACTCTGAATGGACATACGTGGCGTGGTCTGGTTGCATGGGACTACGTAGGTGGGGATGCCCTCCTCTCTTTTCCGTGCAGGCTGCTCGCGTGTCTAGCA